AAACTCTTTAAAGTGGCATGGCATTTTGTGGTACTTACACAATCTGGTGTCAACTTGAGACTCTTAAAAGTGAAGGGGTGGAGTCTAGCCTGTCAATCAGGTCACAGCTTGATGACTTCATTTGGAGGTGTGACAGATATAGACAGCTCACTAGAGGCCAGATGCACACTCTCCATCCCAGCCCAGTCCAGATCAAGTCCATATGTCCAATACCAATCTATAAAGTCCTCTTCAAACTCATGAAATACATGCAATGATGCCAAATGCAAGAAGATCACAGGGCAGTGGGTATTAAGTCTTATGGATCCAGTGGGGTATAAGCATCTCAGTGCTGGCTGGGGTCTTCACGTGGCTTTTCCAGCTCCAAGGCTCTGGCTGCCATCAGCCTGTCTCCATGTGGCTTGTCAACAAGAATGTCTCACTGGGACTGAGTGAGTTAGTTTATTGTGCCAACTTGGCTGATAAACAGAAGTGGGGTTAATTGAAGGGCGGAGGGATAAATTGCTCAGTGAACCTCGCCTTTCTAGTTCTCAGGTCTCTTCCTTTATGATGGTGCAGCTGCCTTAGCAGTTCCCTGCTTCAGCTTGCAAGACTGACTTCCTGCAAGACATCCCCAAGGAGAAGCCACATGGACCTACCCAGATGCAGCCCTGGGTGCTGGAGCAGCTGTGTGGAGACCCCTGCCAGCACTGAGATGCTTATATATTCACTGACTTGGCTTTCCTCCTGCAGTCGGGGTCATTGTGTCTGTTTTGTGAGATGGAGGAGGACTTTGTGGGTTGGTGTTGGACATATGAGTTAATGTTGGACTTGGGGGCTTGGGCAGCACTGGGTTGGGATGTTTTCTTGACGCTCGCTTAACCTTTATATAAAACTCTCTCTTATACATGAGTTTCTGTGGATTTGTTTCTCTAAAGTACCCAGATTAACACAGGGACTGAGTATGTGTCCTGCCTCCAATAAGCTATTTATTTCCTTAGCACCTCCAAATGAGGTCATCAATCTGTGATCTGATTGACAGGTAAATTCCACCCCTTCACTCCTCAGTCTCAAATTGACAACAGATTATGTAACTACCACAAACAACAATCAAGAAAAAAAACAGTTTTCACACCCACAGAAGCAGACTGTGGTGGTTACAGAGAAGGTGGATGAGGAGGTAGGGAAAGGAAGACAGGAAGGAAAAAGAAATAAATTTCACTTTTTAAAAGACACACGAGCAGCCATTTAATATGCAACTATTGGCCTCTCTCCACCTAGAGCAGAGTGAAAAAAATCAATGACTCCTGGAAACAATTAGTCCAATAGATTAATGGACCATGAGAACTTCAGCTTCTGAGACCTGAGAAAAGAAAAACTAGATGGTCCCTAGCCACCACTACCAACTCCTCAGAAAGAGAACATGTTAGAATGCTGGTAGAGGGGGAGGAAAACGTGGAACTAAACCCCACATCAAGTCTTACTGGTTAGCTACAGACTAGAAGAGCCCCCAGACTATGATCCTTAGTCACCCTTCCGATCTGGAATTGAATTCACTCCAGTGTTGTAATAATCAATCATTTAAGATAAAAGGCAGCATTCACCAAAGGGCAGATTTCAATGAGGAATCCCAGGGAGGAAGTGGGATGAGTGATGGTACCTTGAAGAATTATAATGGATGACTTGAAACAAAAATGTATATGAATTGTCAAATGTGGGACTATGATCTGCTCTGTAAACCTTTACCTAATTCACCATACAAAGTAAACAACAAGAAAAATAGTACCAGCAGCGATAAAAATCATGATGGTGGCCTGTAGGGCATGCAAAGGAAACTGGCAGCATCGCTGTGAGGGGCAATAGTGGCAGCTCTGTCCTGAGTCCATTGGAAGGGGTAAAAAGCAAATCAACACATCCGTGTTTGTGTATTGGTACATGTCAATTGGGCTTACAAAAATGCTTTTACAATGTTAAATAATTACAAGGATATTTTTATTTAAAAAATAATACCTTTCTGCCTGACACACTATAACAATTTTGAAGTCAGTCATTTTGGGATCACCCTCTCTGACAGTTTCACCCTCTCTTACAGTATTCACCCCCCAAATGACGCCCTAGTACCACGAAGCCACAAACTGATGGCTCCTGGAGCTAAACAGTTAGAAGCTCACAGCAGATTTTATATCAAGTAAGCACATGCTGAGTTCAGGGTTGCCGAGAAGTTCATCGTTACTACCTGTGGCACCGGGAGAGGAAGGGTTAGGAAGTCAACTCTAGACTCTGGAGGAAAATGAATCTTGACTTGATTAGTGATGCCTTCTGGGGGATTAGCGGAAGTGGAGAGAGAGCTGGGAAGAGGAAGGAGTGACAGCTGATGAATGCAGGCCTGTTTTCTGCCAAACGTAGCTTACGTGTCTGGTCCTACGAAATACACCGAAAAATCTTTCCATATTTAGGGAAAATCTGCCTTATGGTGATATTTAGCTTGTTAGTCTCACCTAGGAAGATCATGTAGAAAGCCAAGATATTTTCCCTTTCTCCTCGATCCCCAATGCCTTTTCGGATGCACGCACGATGCAGAGTAAACGCAGTGTTCCTAGCCCTCACTGTGGCTGCACGCTAGAATCACAATCTCTGAGGGTGGGGCCTAAGTATCAGTGTTTTTAAGTACCGTACCTCTTCCCTTGGGATTCTATTGGACAACCAGAATAAAAAGCAGCTAGCATAGAGGCTAGATGGGAAGGAGAGTCCGGACACCTAGATTTAGTCCTCACACAAAGGGACCTGGTGTGCAATGGCTAAAAGGCTCAGGTCATTTGGGGTTGGCAGTGGAACCGACCAGCTGTTCTGAGGGAGAAGGTGTGGGCAGTCTGCGTCCATAAGGATTACAGCACTGGAAACTGCATACGGCAGTTATAGTCTGTAGTATAGAGCCAGTAGGGGCTGGAACAAACTCAGTGGCAACTGGTTTGGGTTTATTCTAGTTACTAAGGTTCCTGCTAGCTACCCTACTAGTAGCAGGCCATCAGCAGGGCAGAGAACTAATTCAAACTTCAAGCTGGACTCAAAAGAGAACATGGAATGAAGAATGCCATTGCCTCTACCAGGTGGGTCTTGTCTGCAAGCACAGAATATGCAAAAGACGCTTACCTGTGCATCGGGCAAATCTACTGCAAAAGATAGCTCAAAAATGCCAAAGAGCAAACATGTCACTTTGAGGACTAAGCCAGGACTGACCCCACACCACGTTATTTGCAATCACCAACTGTGAATTTGAAAGCTGGAGAGTGACTAAGGATGATTAAAGAAGTATTTTAATTGTGGTACTAGTAAAAATATTGAATATACCGTGGACTGCCAGAATGATGACAACATCTGTCTTGGAGGAAGTAGAGCCAGATGGTAAGACTTTGTCTCACATCCTTAGGACACGTTTACCAGGAGAGCCCAGTCCTACGTAGAGGACTTCATTCTTAATGAAGCAGAGTCAGTGACCAAGAGGAAGGTTCAATGAGATGGACGGATACAATGGCTTCTGCAAAGGGTTCAGACATGGCGCCCACTCTGCGGATGGCCCAGGACTGGGCAGTAATTTCTCTCTGTTGCCTGTGAGAGTGCTATCAGTTGAAATGGACACAACAGCACCTAACAAACATAAACAATCGAACAACTCTTGTGGTTCAGTGCTCAGCTGCTGACTGACAGGCGGAAGGTGGGAATCCCCAGCCACTCCACAGGAGAAAGATGGAGTTGGCTGTTTCTGCAAAGATTATAACCAAGGAACTCTTATGACATCGTCCTACTCTGTCTGGTATGATTGGAATGGATCTCAAAGGCAAAGGCGGTTTGTTTGTTTGTTTTTTAAATCTAGGACTACAACAACAGACCCAAACACAAAAGCAGTTGTGAGGATGTCACAAGACTGGGCGGTGTTTCATTCCGTTGTACATAAGTCAGGAGAGGCTAGATGGCACTAACAACAACAAAAACAACACGACGACAACCATAGTGGGTTACATGTTGGGCTATTAACCACAAAGTCAGCAGTTTAAAACCACCAGTAGCTCCACAGGAGGAAGATGAGGCTTTCCACTCCTGTAAAGAGGTACAAGTTGGATAGTGAATATGGAAAGCCGTATAAAAATAGAGGCATTTGAATTGTGGTGGTGGAGAAGAATATGGAAAGTTACGTGCCAAAAGAACAGACAGAGCTGTATTGACAGAAGTTAAGGCCAATGGTGCTCCTGAGAGGCAAGGATGGCAAGACCTCATCTTACAGACTTTGGACATGTTGCTAGGAGAGACCAGTTTCTGGAGAAGGACATTGGTAAAGTGGAGGGGCAGCAAAAAACCAAACAAACAGAGGAAGGCCCGTGACAAGATGGATGGACACAGTGCTGTTTCGGTGGGGCTCAGGTAGAGGAAGGATTGTGTGGATGGCACACGACTGCAGGGTGTTTCCTTCGGTTGAGCACAGGGTTGCTATGGACCAGAGCCGACTTGATGGCACCTAGTCGATACAGGCCCCAAAGCTCACAGGGGAGCTGGAGCCTCTTCTACAGAGTTGCTGTCTATCAGACTTGGCTTCATGGCAGTGAGTTGGGTTTCTTTTCATTGTTAATATTACAACGAGGAGGTAAAGAATGGGGTAGTGTGTTAGCTCAGATGATATACTCCCTTCTCAGCAAAGTCAAGAAAAATTGGCTTGCTTGTCAAAGAAATACATCTACATGAGATGATCAGAGAACAAAGCCGTATCACTTTCTCCACATGTGCAATTACAATTTCCTAAAAGAGGCATTTTTCCCTACATTGTTCTCTTACAGGATTTTTAAAACACTGGATATTCATAGATATCAGTTACTACTTTGGACACATTTTGCACTTTTTTTTAACACGTGGTAATAAGATACACAATAAAGCACAGATGATTCCCCAATACCTTTGCATGTTGTCTGAACCCTTGACATTATTAGCTAGCTCTCTCGGAATTGCCACTCTTCAGGGATTGAACAACCTACCTGAGTGACCGCAACATGTGTCCCATCGGTGACTTCCACACTCATGTTATAGATAGACCTCTGCTCAGCATCCAAAGGTTTGGCTATCACAATAGTCCCGATGCCCTTCTCCGCGTCAAAAGAGCTGTCAAAATTCCCCCCTGATGACATCACAGAAACAACATTACATTAGCACATCTGAGAAATTATGCATTGAAACGTCTTTCTATCTTTAAAGGGTACTCTTCTATAAGAATTTTTTGGACAGGCATCCCTATAGCTCAATTTAAGTCTTCATAGATGGGGCCACTTTCTTTCCACCTTAATTCATATTTCAAAACACAGCCTCTACAATGCATAACAAAGGTCAGGGAAAAAAGAGATTGGATTGCAAAGAAGAACCTCAGCAGTAACGTCAGGGGAGTAAAGCACGCATGTGTTCCATCGAATATTTAGAAAGCTAAAGGCCTTTCGATCTCTTGTGACTTCTGCGCTATGAATTTGCACACCTTTTTGTGTTCCCAAAGTAGATTGTATTATAAGTAAACAGTCTAATTAGTGCTCGCAATGAGGAGACACTCTGAAATCAATTTTAGGATTGATGGTAAATCTGTAGTGTGTAGAGTCCCGAGTCCTTCAATTATGTCAGAAATGAAAATGATAACTACTTTAAAAGTAAAAAGCATCAAAGAATGGAATTTTATTTTAAAAATCCCCATCTCCGAACATTGTGAGAGTCATAGAAATACATAGAGGAGCTGTGGTGTAGCGGTTACGTATTGGGCTGGATTCTGCATGGTCTGCAATTCAAAACCAACAGCAGCTCTGAGGGAGCAAGACTGCGCTTTCTACTCCCGTCCACAGTTACGAGTTTGGAAACTCCCGGGGGCTGGCTCCAAGTTAGCCGGGACTCAACGGCAGTGAATTTAGTTTATATGTATGTATGTGCGTTCTTTTTCCACTAAAAAAAGAGAAAGTATTGTGACTCGCTTTTCTCCTTAAAAAAGGCAGAGCGTTTATGGGAGATTGACAAAATGAAATCTGGAAAGGAGTAAGAGGAACAATATCCGCTTATGTCATGTCAACTTATAAAATAATTGTATAGAGGTCTAGGAAACGTTCCATCTTCCTTCTGGGCCAGGTATGATTCATAGTGTGTGGATGGTATGCTTCAGAGAACCCTGGCCTTGTCGAAACCATTGCTAATTGTCTCCATCTTTGTGAACCTGAGTGTGGTGTATAGCCCTTATTAAGTGAAATATTTTTTAAAAGGGGATAGTAAACATGATGATATAAATGCTGGAATGACTTTAGGTGAGTATCAGTGTATGGTCATACATTCTGTTTGTTTTAGCCTGAAATTCCATGTTGTCCTGGACAGTAATTTCATGTGAGCTCATGTAGGGCAGCATATTCATTGAATTTCACATTTCAGGAAAGAAACCCTGGTTTCCTTTATACTCAGCATTATTTATATTTCATTTTGCTGACCAAATGATCAAAACGTTTCTATAATATTACAATTATCAATGGGCAGATGAATTAAGTGACAGATGTTTGCCTCACCTACCAGAATTTGAGGTACAGTGATTCAAAAGAAATCATGGGATTTAGTGTTAAAAAAAACCGCAAATACAAAAAATGTAAATATCTATTTCAAATATGGCTTGCTTGCAGCTGTCATATACACTTAAGATGACTTAATTGCTAGAGAGAACATAATTGTCCTTGACATTTAATTAACACTATGAAGATATGGGGGATACC